TGTCTCAGAGCATAGAGAAAATAGCCTCTTGATTCTGGTGTCAGGGATGGGGCTGCCTGGGTTAAGGGGACACCAGGGAGGGGCAGGGGCTTGGTGGTCAGGGCTGAGTGGTGGTGTCTGAAATACGAGCCGGCCAAGGCTGCCAGGGTCTGGGTCTGATGACGTATATGCAGGGGGTTTCTCTAACCGCTCTAATCCACACTGGCACTAACCGCCCCCTGCCACGTCCAGACAATTTTTTTCCCTTGAGTCACAGACCAGCAGTCCCCAGCCCCTGGGTGACACCTCGCAGGGGCTCCTGGACCACCCAAAGAAAGCTCACTCTGCAACCTAGCGTTAAGGCAGATGGACAAGCCCCAAACACCCATTGCTTGCCTAGCAGTCTTGCCCTGGAAGATGCCCAGGAGTAGTGGGGACTGCGCCCACCAGGGACACATTCAGCCCTATGCACAGCAGAGCAGCTCATGACGGCCAAAGCTGGAGGCAGCCCTGATGTCCATCGGCTGGTGGATGGTGGACCATGGGCTAGCACACACAGTGACACGGACACGTCTCCAAGGGACGCTGCGTGGAGCAGACGTGGCCAGACCCACAGAAGAGCACATGGTGCTTGATCACACTCGACATGGAGTCCCAGGACAGGCTAAAGGAACGGGAGTGCAGTGGGCATGATTGCAAAGCCGCAAAGTCACAGTAGCACTGGGGGTGGGAGGAGGGGCAAGAGGGAGCGCTGGAAGTGTCCATCTGAGTGGTGTGTGTGAGTCATTGACCACAATTTAGTGGCTTAAAACCACACGTCTATTCTCTCTGGAGATCAGAATTCAGATGTATTATGGAGCTAAAGGCGTGGGCAAGGCTGGTTCCCGGGGGCTCTGGGGAGGACCCTTTCTGCCTCTCCCAGCTCCTGGTGGCCCCAGGTGATCCTGGGCTCATGGCTGCATCACTCTGATCTCTTTCCATGGTCACATCTCCTTCTCTTCTGTCGTCAAATCTGCCTCTGATCGCTCTTATAAAGCCTGTGATGACATCAGGTTCACCCGGATGATCCAGGACGATCTCCATTCTCGAGACCATTAATTGCATCTGCAGAGTCCCTTCTGCTATATGAGGTGACTTGCCCAGTGGCTGAGGATCCCAAGTGGACACCTCAGGGGCTGTCCTGCTCAGCAGGACATGGGTGTGCACACGTGTGAAAGCTCACGATTTGGAACGTTGCTCGCTTCCCTGTGTGCACATGCTGCACTTTTTAAAAAAGCTGCAGTTAGACCCGGCAGCTGGCCTGGTTGGGGAAGGAGAAGCGGCCCGGGCCCCTGAGCACCTGTGCGTGGGCAAGTCTGGCCTGAGCCTCCTGGTCCTTCTGGGGAGTGAGNGGGTGTGTGACTGGGCAGCATTGTGACCCCCCACCCTGGGGGCCTGCAGTGGCTGCATCCTGTTCTCGGCTGCCCTCCTGCAATTCCTGGGAGCCATGTTACTACCCTCACATGAGGAAACACCTCCCATGAGGGCACTCCCCCAAGAGGACATCCCCCCTTGAGGACACCCTCCCCATGAGGACACCCCCCCATGAGGACACACCCCCCAACAGGACACATACATCAAGATGATACTGCCCCCAAGAGGACATACACCCCATGGGGAGACCCCATGAGGACATCTCCCAGTCTGAGAAAGGGCCACCTTAACCTGTGTCTTGTATACAGGGTACCAGGCTCAGAGGTGTTTGGCAACCCTCCTGGGGCCACACAGCCATTCTGCAGTGGCTCTTACATTAAAGGCCCTTTCTCTGGGACTTTTGGCCTGAAGAGGAGGCTGCCTGCCCTTCTGGGGTCAGGAGCCCTGGATTGGGGGCATCCAGGAACACACTGGGCCCCGGCCCCTCAGCTCACCCTCAGTCACTCAGTCATTCAGCATTCACTGAGAGCCTGCTGTGTGCCCAGTGCCATGCCAGGGGCTGAGTGCAAGGAGAGAAAAGAGTCGGGAGACACCACTATGGGTGTGCACACGTGTGAAAGCTCACGATTTGGAACGTTGCTCGCTTCCCTGTGTGCACACGCTGCACTTTTAAAAAAAGCTGCAGTTAGACCCGGCAGCTGGCCTGGTTGGGGAAGGAGAAGCGGCCCGGGTCCCTGAGCACCTGTGCGTGGGCAAGTCTGGCCTGAGCCTCCTGGTCCTTCTGGGGAGTGAGCAGGCAGGAATAGACCCCACACCGCTGCCTCCCACATGCTGCTTGCTGCCCATGCCTACCCAGGGTGGCAGAAGGGTCCCTGAGACAGGTGCAAGGACAGCTGGCTGGAGTCCACTCACCCATGCCCTCCTCGGGCAGGGCCATCTGACCCCGTGTCCTCAATCCCTGGTTCACCATGACTGCCTGACACCATGTCCCCTCTCTCCCCCTAGGATACCGTGAGGGCCTTCTCTGGAAGCGTGGCCGGGACAATGGGCAGTTTTTAAGCCGGAAATTTGTGCTGACAGAACGAGAGGGGGCCCTGAAGTATTTCAACAGAAATGACGTGAGCCAGGCATGGGGCAAGGGTGGGGTGTGTGACTGGGCAGCATTGTGACCCCCCACCCTGGGGGCCTGCAGTGGCTGCATCCTATTCTCGGCTGCCCTCCTGCAATTCCTGGGAGCCATGTTACTACCCTCACATGAGGAAACACCTCCCATGAGGGCACCTCCCCAAGAGGACATCCCCCCTTGAGGACACCCTCCCCATGAGGACACTCCCCCATGAGGACACACCCCCCAACAGGACACATACCTCAAGATGATACTGCCCCCAAGAGGACATACACCCCATGGGGAGACCCCATGACGACATCTCCCAGTCTGAAAAAGGGCCACCTTAACCTGTGTCTTGTATACAGGGTACCAGGCTCAGAGGTGTTTGGCAACCCTCCTGGGGCCACACAGCCATTCTGCAGTGGCTCTTACATTAAAGGCCCTTTCTCTGGGACTTTTGGCCTGAAGAGGAGGCTGCCTGCCCTTCTGGGGTCAGGAGCCCTGGATTGGGGGCATCCAGGAACACACTGGGCCCTGGCCCCTCAGCTCACCCTCAGTCACTCAGTCATTCAGCATTCACTGAGAGCCTGCTGTGTGCCCAGTGCCATGCCAGGGGCTGAGTGCAAGGAGAGGAAAGAGTCGGGAGACACCACCAGTCGGGAGACACCACTGAGCTGGCAGGGATGGAGGCAGGGAGAGAAAGGGCAGAGGGACCGGCGTGGGAGCACAGACCAGACAGAGAAGCTGTTTGCTGGAAGGGGCAGAGTAGGGTCTACCCAGATATCTAGTACCTGCCGCACAATGTCACTAGTCCTCATCATCCCTGAGGGGCAGATACTGTTACCTTCAGTTTACAGACCTGGAAGCTGAGGCTCAGAGAGGTTAAGTAACCTGCCCAAAGCCACATGGCACAGCAGGTGTGCCACCAGCATGCACAGAGCCCACCCTTGCAACTCCCTTTAGCTCAGACAATCCCAGTGCTTAGACCCGGCCTTTCTTCCCAAGCCACATGGCACAGCAGGTGTGCCACCAGCATGCACAGAGCCCACCCTTGCAACTCCCTTGAGCTCAGACAATCCCAGTGCTTAGACCCGGCCTTTCTTCCCAGGCCAAGGATCCCAAAGCCATCATGAAGATCGAGCATCTCAACGCAACCTTCCAGCCGGCCAAGATTGGCCACCCCCACGGCCTGCAGGTCACCTACTTGAAGGACAACAGCACCCGCAACATCTTCATCTACCATGAGGACGGGAAGGTGGGGAACATGGGCCGGGCCGGGGCAGGGTTGGGGAGGGCCGGGCTGCTCAGGAGTCAGGTTGTCCGTGCTGTCTCTGGGAGAGCCCAGCCTGTGCCCCACCAGAGGGGGCTGCCAGCTCAGCCAGTGGCATCTACCATCACCCCTCCAGGCCCTGAGCGTGCCCTGTGGGAGGAACTGGAGTCCCACATGGAAAAGAAGGGGACGGCCGCTGGCTCGGGGCTGTCCGGGCTGCATCCCTTTGGCCGCACAGTGGCTGTGCTGGGAGAGGGCAGCTCAGCCCTGAGCACCTGCCCCTGCCCCACGGCAGTCCTGCCACCTTTACATCCAGCATCCTTGGAAGGTGCGGGCAGGAGGATACCCCAAGCAAAACTCCCTCAAAGTCTGTCCTGGGCCAGACGGCAGGGGGCCCAGTGGTGGACCCCGTCTTCTTTTTGTTGCTTTGGTTTCCATTTCTGTTTTGATCAAAAGTATATGTGCACGTGGTTTAAAGAGTTAAATAGTTCCGTCAGGCCTGAGAAACAAGTTTGAGGCCCCTCCTGACCCCACTGCCCCCTCCCTGGAGGCATCCACCTTTTGGCTTGTTTAACTGATCCTTTGGGAATTTGTCCCCATTTCTATAAATAACACACTGCACTGCTGCCAGATTTGTCCATTTTAGGCACCATCTGCTGACTTCCCGCTGTGGAAGATGAGGATCTAGCTTTTTCCAGCTCCCACCACGCGTGCCTGTCCCGTCCCCCCCCCTGTGGAGTTTGCTCGCGTCTGCACTTGGCCTGGGCGCTGCCCTGACTGTGGAAGTGCTGGGGGGGCCTGAGCAGGGGAGCAGACTGTGGCTACTTTTCCTTTCCTGCATGATGTTTTATCTTCCCTAGAGTCAATAGCTGCTTTCTCCCCCTAGTTAACTGTGTGCCCACCTGGACTCCCCAGGACTAAACCCGGCTGCAGTCAGGTGCCAGGTAGCCTTTGATGTCGGCTTTCTCGAGATACCCCTCGTGCAGCCTCATCTCACTCCTGGGCTGATGCGCTGTTTCCAGGATCCCAAGTCTTTTTTGGTTTCCTCCCTTCTTTTAGTGGAACACACCCTCAAGTTTCCTGGCCAGGTCCTGCAGGGCCATGCCGAGGACTCCGCCTTCACTGGGGGCACAGTGTGAAGCCCGTGGGGAGGGCGTCAGGACCCGATCTGAACGGCTGTGGATCCCTGTGGCTGTCAAGGGAGGGCCGAGGGCAGGGGGAGGCTAGTGCTGCCCACTGGTGGGAGACAACAGTCGCTGGGCCCCTGGGCGGGAGGGAGGAACCAGGAGACTTGGTGGTGTTGGGGCAGCAGGGGTGACGTGGGGTACCTGGTGGGCAGTGGGCAAGGCAGCAGGATGGACTGTGCCACTGCGTGCCGTCCAACGGGGGACAGAACAGAGAGGACTCATTGGAGTGCTACCTGCATGGGGCAGGGAGAGGAGGGAGCCTCCTCCGCCAGGGGTCTCCAGGCTACCATGCTGAGGACAAGACAAAGGGGCGGGAGGAAGCCCAGAGAAGGCTGTGTCCTGAAAGCCAAGGGGAGGGGCGTGTGTGTCCAAGAGAAGGTGAGGGCAAGGTGGTCAGGATTTGGGACTGGGGAGTCACTGACAGTGGAGGGCTGGTGCACAGGAGGGGAGGGGCTGGGACAGCAGTGAGATGGGAGGGCTGTGGGTCTGGCAGGCTGGCCCCACAGAGACACATGCAAAGGCCCAGGTAGGTGTGAGCCATTGCAACCACAGAGTGAGGGGCCAACCGCAGTGTGAGGTCTGGGGGAGGTGGGATCTGCAGCAGAGGGTGGGTGGGCCTGGATGAGGAAGGTCAGGGGCCAGTATGGGGAGGGGAGGAGGAGGGCAGGCACAGAGGGGCTTCGTGCAGAGAGGCCAGAGAGGGGTGGATCCCTGTGCACCGTAGGAGGGGAGGGCCAGAGGAGGGCGGGGCAGGGAAGGAGGTGGGCGGGGCCTATGGGGGCTGGGGGGAGGGGGCGGCGGTGGCTGCAGAAGGTGGGCTGGGGCCTGTGACAAATGCATGGAGATGTGGGCGGGACCACGGTGACCCCGCCACTGCTACCGGGTTGAAGCTGGTGCTGAGGGAGGAGGCTGAGGCTGCCTGCATTGCAGGTGGCCCCTCGCTGGCTCTGGGACAGGTGTTGTCAGGCAAAGTGGACAGTTGGCTTTGTCTGGGTTTGGGCTTTTGCCAGACAGTGGGAAAAAGTGGCTGGGCAGACCCCAGGATGGAAGGGCCTAGGGAGGGGAGGGAGGGGGACCAGGGGTGCGCGGGTCCCTGGCTCCTCCTGGAGCACAGCAGCCACACGGAGAGGCTGGAACCGAGGGTGGGGACATCGCACCTTTACAGGCGCCACAGTTCCAGGCTGTGACTGGACCAGGAGCCTGGGCTGAGGGCACAGAGTCACAGGAGGATGAGGAGGTGGGCAGACCCCAGGATGGGTGCTGAGTCTGGAGACCTGGGGGTACCCGACGGCCACAAGGCAGGAGGGGCAGGGCTGGGTGGCAGCCAGGCACAGAGGGGCCCAGGCAGCCCCAGGGTCGTGGCCCCTTCCCATTCACGAATTCCAGCTCACTCCATTCTCTCCTGTGAGGATCAGGGGCCCGTCTCCCTGGGGAACAGCTCTGCCCTGCACCCTGAGCTCTCAGTGGGGGAGAGCTGGGGAGGCACAGCTCCAAGTGGGTTGGCTTACAAATAGATGAGCCTCCTCCTCCTCCCTCCTCCGCAAGACTTGCGCAAGCTACAAAATAAGGATCGCCGAAAAAACAGCCCAATCTGAGAGGAGGAAAGTCTGGCCCAAGGCCCACAGCAGGGCCAGGTCCGTGGAGACCAGCTCGAATGTCACCACTCCCTCATCGTCCCCCTGCCCCATCTTGTTCCCTGACTATTGTGCATTGGGCCGTCCCTCGGTCTTGGCCCAGGCTGGCCCTTAGGCCCAGGCCCATCTCAGGACTCTCCCGCCCAATGGGCAACTCCTGTCTGTGGCAGCCCTCACCCCAGCACTGGCACATGGCGGTGGGCCTGAGTAGGGGGCGCAGCCAGTCCTTCAGTGGGACCTGGAAACTGCATCAGCTCCAACCACGGGGTGCCTGGAGCTGAGGGGATGGGGTGAGTCTCGGGGTATCCCAGGGAGGCAGAGCCCATGGCAGGAGTGCCCCTCTCCTTGGGGCTGGGCTCTGCAGCCCTGCGGTCCCTCCCTCGGCCCACAGCCCATGCCAGCCTTTGCCCCCTAGGAGATCGTGGACTGGTTCAATGCTCTCCGAGCCGCCCGCTTCCACTACCTGCAGGTGGCCTTCCCGGGGGCCAGTGACGCAGACGTGAGTGGCTGCCCTGCGGTCCCCTCCTGGGGCTGGGGGGGCGGGACGCGGGAGGTGGACATCTCAGCCCTTCTGCCCTGTGGTGGGACAGGGGGCTGACCAAGGGCCTCCATGGACCCCCGGAGAGGCCCTATTGCTGACTGGCCTGAGGCCTGCCCTAAGGTGGCCGCAGCTGTCCTGCTTCATTCTGGGGACTTTTAGCTCAGCTGTAGTGGGAAGAAAGAGAGAGGGAGGGCTGGGGGGAGGGGAGGAGAAAGGGGGAGGAGAGAGAGGGAGGGGAGAGAGACAGAGACAGGGAGGCAGGCAAGGTGGCTGGGCCAGGCCTGGGCCCTCCCCTCGCAGCTGGGAGCCTGGAGGGGACACAGGCTGGGTAAGGGTCCCTTGACTTGGGGGGTAGGGGGGACCCAGGCATCCGAGGGGCCAGTCCTGGGCACCTCATTGGGCCCTGCCTGACCGTGCATTTTCTGCCCCAGCTGGTGCCGAAGCTCTCCAGGAACTACCTGAAGGAAGGCTACATGGAGAAAACAGGGCCCAAGGTGGGCATGCAGGGCAGGCTGCTGAGCCGGGGCGTCTGGCTGCCGTGGGTGCCCAGGCCTCACTCTACCTGGGGCTGGTGGGGCTGTGGTGGCCGACTGAGGGAGAGGTTGCTGTGCAGGCCAGGAGGGGGCCCAGGGCACAGTTGGGCAGGACGAGGGTGCATCGGGGGGGGTCATGGGCTGAAGCACCAGTGACCTTCCCAGGTACAGCCTGTTTTTGAGCTGAGCTTCTCGGCATAGAGGGCCCTGACCTCGAAACGTTTTATAAGAGCAGGTCAGCTTCAGGTGGGTCCCAGCTGACCTAGGACCACTGTCCTGGGCTGTGGATGCTGGTGCTCTGGCTCCAGCCCCACCTGCCAGGTCTGGCCAGCCCTGCCCTGCCGTCCTGCCCTTTGTCAAGGACCTGTGCACCTTCGTGGGCTAGGTGCCCACGTCGTGCCATTCCCTGCTGTGTGGGGGTTGGGGGGACACGAGTCCCAGGATCCCGGGGGATCTGGAAGCTGAGACAGATGCTCCGTGGAAGTGCAGGTGTGGCAGGACTTTAAGCAAGGCCAGACCCTGCTCGGGGCCTGCCAGCAGGGCTGGGGCTGGCGTGGAGGCGGGAGGAGCAGCACGTGCAAAGGCCGTTCGCCAGCTGGTTGGTGAACAGAAGGCATGAGTGAGTGAAGGAATAAATGAATGAACAGGGAACACTTATTCTAGTTTATGGAATAATGTATTGCCTGATTCTAGAATGGCAGTAAAGCCGATTGAAATCTTTAGAAAAATAAATGAATGAATGAACTCACGACCCTGCCCTCTGGGGTGGTGAGCTGTGGTCAGCTGAGGGCAGGGGCCTGCCTCACTGGCCCTCTCTGACCCACAGCAAACAGAAGGCTTCCGGAAGCGCTGGTTCACCATGGATGACCGGAGGCTCATGTATTTCAAAGACCCCCTGGTAAGGAAGGGCTGTGGCCCCAGAACAGCTTCAGGCGGCCACGTGGCTGCCCTCAGTCATGTGGAGAATGAGCTGACTGGCTGATGTTCCCTGGTTGGCCTTGCTGACCAGGAGGCAGGGGCTGGATTTCCCCGGGTCCTAGCCTTTGGGCTTCACCTGGCTCTAGGCAAAGCTGGGCTTAGAGAGGAAGCAGCCCAGAAGGAAGAGACTCGGTCACCCCTTGCCTGGGGGGTGGGCTGGGCATGGGGTGCAGGGGCACACAGCCCCTAACTCCAGCCTGGTCCCCACCCGCAGGACGCTTTCGCCCGAGGGGAAGTCTTCATCGGCAGCAAGGAGAGTGGCTACACGGTGCTGGAAGGGCTCCCGCCATCCACCCAGGGCCACCACTGGCTGCACGGCATCACCATCGTCACGCCTGATCGCAAGTTCCTGTTCACCTGCGAGACGGAGTCGGACCAGAGGGAGTGGGTGGAGGCTTTTCGGAAGGTGGTGGACAGGCCCATGCTGCCCCAGGAGTATGCAGGTGAGAGCGGTGGGTGGGCCAGTGGGAGGCAGGTTGGGCTCTGGGGCTCCGTGTCCCCATGCTCATGGGGCAGCCTCTTGGAGCTGGATGGAAGCTCCAGGCGGGTTGTGTCAGGAGTGGCCTGGGACTGAGCTCGCCGCTCTGCCTGTGTGGCCATGCCAGGCTGACACCTGTTCCCATTTCCAGTGGAAGCCCACTTCAAGCATAAACCGTAGGAAGAAATTGTTTGGAGGCCCAAGGACACTGGACTCATTGTAATGGGGCTGGCGAAGAGGTGGCCAGACTGTGCAGGGCCCACAGATGGAGGGAGCCCGGCATCCCGACGAGGCCAGCTGTCCTGGCCCTGAGCAGAGCCCTGGCACAGCCAGGTAGGACCTAAGCTTTAGCCACCAGGACCAGTTTCTCTGGAACCTCGTCGCGGGCAGACGCGACCCGAGGCCTGGCCTGACCTCTGACCCGCCATGCTGCTGCTGACCACACCCAGCTGACCTGCTCCCCTCCCTGCCCACCGGACCCCCTTCTTTTGAGGGCCCTGCCTGGCCTGCCAGCTCAGGGGCAGCCCCAGCAGCCCTCACAAACTCTTGCTGCCACCCGCCTGTGACCAGCACAGCTGGGCTGCTGAGACAGCGGGCAGCAGGGCCGGCCTGTCCGCTGAGGACTCTGGGACCGGCCTGCATGCCTACCCTGCCCCTTCCTTGTCCTGCCCTGACTCAGCCCAGCCGGCCCTGGCTGGGCCCCTTCCCCAACAAGTATTTATTGAGCACCTGCTGTGTGTTGGTCCTGGGGGTTGGAGTGGAAAACTCGGCCTTATCCTCAAGGAGCTGACCCAGTTGGGGGCGGTTTTCTAGGTGGAGTGAACTGTGTGCAGAGGTCCTGGGGGTTCCCCACCGGCTGCGGCCCCTCCAGTGCTCCTGGTCCCAGGGCTGGTCAGCACCCGGGGCCCTGAGGCACTTGGTTTGGAGCGGGAGGGTGACCGGAGGCTCAGCAGGGGCTGCCCGTGGGCGCCCAGCAGTCCTGACGTAGGAGGCTGGTGCGGCCGCCCATCTGCTTGCTGGCATCTGTGTGCCCATCTTGGTGCTTGCCACTGACCAGCGACTCACGCCCTCCGGCCCTGACCTGTGGTCTTTGAGCCATTTGAGAATGATGGCTTGAGCTGCAGTGAGGCCACCAGAGGAGGGGTGGCCCTGGAACCCAGCTCACACCCTCTCCTTCCCCCACCCCAGGGGAGAAGTCCGGGCATTTCCCCCTGGACTGCAGCTCGCTGCTGGCAGGCCAGTAGTTGAAGCCACCATGTATTTATTTCTCACCCCATCTTCCTGTGAAGTGCCCTGGCTGTCCAGAACAGGGCTAGGCTCCGAGGGCTCCCCTTGCGTGGGACCCATGTAAGGCACGTCCTGGCTATCTGGGCAGGCTGGGTGGAGCATGTAGGTGGGGGATGCACCTGCCAGTGACCTGGGCGGCCCCAGCCCTCTCCCAGCCCTGCCTGGCAGAACTGTGCCCCAGGGCAACCCTCACAAGCCCTCGAGGGGACAGGAGAGGGTTCCCGAGGCCGGGAATCCTGCCACCCCTTGTCACATCCTGGAATAAAGTGTGGCTCTGGCGTGGTCTTATCTGTGTGTCTGAGGCTGGAGTGGGGAGGGGGCTGAGCTGGGAACACACGGTCCTGCCCTGGCAGCCTCTAGATGGACACAGGAGTAACTGTGTCGGCTCTGCAGGGGCAGGGCCGAGATGGGGGATGGGACTCCTGCAAGAAGGGGACTTGTGCTCCCCGCTTGACCCTGCAGCACAGGAGTCCAGGTTGGCAGTGGGTCTGAGCTGCTGGCCACTGTACTCATTATGCAGGGGGGAGCTGCAGCCCTGGAGGAGGAAGGCCGGCCCCACCTACCAAGGCCCTGCCCCCCAGGTCCCTGCTCCCTGGCCGCCTCAGGGCCCACACCCCTTGGCGCTGTCAGTCCCAGGGCTATTTCTGGCACTGTGTGCAGAGGCCCTTGGGTGCCCATCTCCTGTGGGTGTGCCCACTTCCTGGTATGTACCTGTGGCTGGCCAGCCAGGCCCTCTGGGGTCCAGAGTCCTCACCTCCACCTGCAGCCTGGAGGACAAGCCTAGCACAGCAAGGGGGTCTCTGGTAAGGTATGCCCCAGTCTGCGTCAGGGCACGACTCATCCTGGGGGTGGGGAGCCCCTGCTCCTGGCTGGCCCTCCAGCCTAAGACCCTCAGCCCTCCGTATCCTCCCGCAGAACATGCTGAGCCCCACTTCCCAAATGAGGAAACTGAGGTCCCGGGAGGGGGGCAGAGGCCTCCCAACCCCATTCCCACCAGCTCCCAGGAAGGAGAGATGGCCACTGCCCCAGGAAAGGAGAGGCTGGGGGTTCACCCTGGTTCTCATGAACAAGACCTGCTCTGAGCTGCTCAGCTACTGCCTTGCCACAGTCCACCACTATTGCCACAGCTTCCAGATGCAGAGACTCCAGCCTACTGTGTCTGGGTCAGAAATGAGAACCCTGAGGTCCCCCTGGATTTATCCCACTGCATGGGGTCAGCCCTGCCCATAGCTCTCTTGGGCTAATCTTCTAGACTTTTCTTCCACTATGAAGTGTGGGCACAGGCTCTGAATGTCTGTGTGCATGTGTTGTTTGCAAATGTCTGTGCACACACGTGCATGTGTACACTTTGAGTGAACGTATACGTTTGTGTGCACATATTTGTGAGTGGGTGTGTGCGAGAGTGCATATGCACGTTTGTGTATATACATGCACGTTTGCATGTATTCTACCAAGGACACTGACAACCTTCACATTTTAAAAGGAAACCACAGAATCAACAAGGTGGGGAACTTACAACCCATAAAAGGTCAGTCATTTGGGTTACACCAGTACCTCCCCTTGGCAGGGGGCCCTGGACAGTTACGGGCCACTCACTGCCTGGGCCCATACCATGTGCCAGCTGTGCTGTCCAACAAGGCATAGTTCAGACCATGGGGCCATGGGAATGGTTGCCCCAACATATGACATCAACAGTAGTGCTGTCTTACACGTGAGATGGTTACAAGTACCATACACAGATACAACAGATACAGCACTTCACCTTGAGAGTCCTGAGGTCTGCATGTGGAAGTAGGCACTGCAGCCTGGGTTACTGTCGGGAGGGGGGTTCCCCAAAGTGGGCACGGGCACGGCACAGGTGCACACAGTGGTGCCTGGACTGTGCGTTCCTGCGCGGTTCTGTTTATTTAGTGTTAATCCTGAGCAAAACCGCGCATAAATGAAACTCGCATTCTGCTCAAATTATTCCTGAATATATCAATCGCATTGGATCAAATCCATGGTTTCAAAACAGGCATCACAGCAGAATGGAGGTGCTCCAGCCTGGGCTCAGCAGACCCCTGCCTGCCCGCCTTCCCCATGACTGGCCGCAGCGAGGCCTCCTGCGCCCTGCGCCACCCCCTCCTGAGACAGCCCTGGGGCTCTTCCCCTCTAAACTGGAGCAGTTTGTGGAAAGCTCCAGTGGGCGACAGCGCAGCCTCCACCTCCCCTGCAACCCAAGGGCCTGCTCTTTGATGGTGTGAAGCCCATAACCTGGTGGATGTGATTTTTCCAAATTTCAATAAAGTTACACACACATATTTATTTCTAAAAATCACAACCAATTTTGGGACTTTCCCACCACTGGCCACTGGTTGCCACTTCACTCCATCCATGCACAGGCAGTCTGGACAAACCCAGGAAAGCACTCATCACAGCACATGCTTCTTCCTGGAGGGCTCACAGGGTCTCTGCTCAGACACCCCCACCCAGGGGCAGGGCAGAACCAAGGGAAGCAGACACCCCAACTCAGCACCCATGGCCCTACCCGTGATCCCTAGGCCAGTGGGGGTAGCCAACACCTGAGACCCCACAGCCCAGCCCCATAACCAGCCCCCATAGCTCATTCAGAAAGGAACAGTGCTGCAAAGCCCAGTATAAAGAATTTATTTATACTCAACAATTAACACAAACCTTCCTTTAAATTCCATTTTTACAGTAAATAAAGTTGTATATTATTTCCCTCCTTCCCATGCATGATCACTGTGTATTAATCTACAACTCTTACTTAATTGTGAAAAAATAATAAATGTCCATCAGTAGGGGACACAGTACAGTCACACAGGAGAATCCTAAAGAGTTATCAAAGTAACATCATGGAAAGATAATTTCAACCAAAGAGAGAGCTATAAAGCATGTGCATGTTGTACTCAATCAGCACATAAATAAATCAGATACATCCAAAGCTTCAAAGGTTGCACATAAAAATGCTAACTGCTGTCACTGTTGATGTCTGTCCTTTTACTCACCAAATTTTTATCCAAGAAACAACTGTTATGTAAATACAAAATCAAAGTTTAAAAAATTCTCTTAAACCAAACTGTGAGGGAAACAGAACAAATGAAGTTAACGTTCTTTGGACACAAAGACACAGCAGTGGAGGTGCAGTCTTCCTTGCTCTCTAATGCTGTTAGCTCCATCCCAATGAATACGTTAACAGCATTTCTGGGGGAAATGGAAAAGCTAACTAGGAAGTTCTGATGAAAAAATAAAAAGCATGAAAAGTCAGGACGTTTCTGATAGGGTGTGGTGCTGGGGGATGGAACCTGATTGACATAAAAACATTAAGCCATCGTTTCAAGCTAAGACATGAGCACACACTGACCTGCACCCTCACTCCCAAGGTACCACCGTCCCGCAGAGGCCCATCGGTGCACGGGAATGTGGGAGGCATGGTGGCACCACTTCACTACATGGTGGTGGTGCCAGTGCACTGACCACTGCGGAAGAAGGCAAGAGGGCCTCCACCTGCCCCTTCCACTGAACATAAACCCCAAAAAGATAAAATGTACAGGGAAAAAGTGAAACCTACAATTAAGAGGAAACAACTTTTAAAGTAATCTCAACAAGAAAGGCCTTTCCATGGAGTGCAACTTGGAAGCCTCTCTGAAAATTAGAAACACACACCACGCCCTGCCCGAGCCCCTCCGACGTGGGTACACGCGGATGCAGTTATGCACGGCAGCACAGCTTGCAGTGGAGCACCCCTAGCTCTCGCAGGTACAAGCCCGAGGTGCAGGCACTGGGCACAACCTGGCACCACTGACAGAGAAGAAGCCAGCTGTGTATTGGCTGGCACATGCGGAGTCATCCTGCCAGGAAGCAAGAGAAACCTCAGGGCTGTTTGCCCCCGACGGGAGAACTGAGGAGCAGGGAGACAGGCCGAGAGGTGGGTACTTCTGAATTCTAAACTCTGTGAAATATGATTTACTATTCAAAAAACAAAACTGAACACGTTTAAAATCTCTATTACATAAAAGACCTCACTGGCCCTGCCCTGGTGGAAGGACACGTTCACAGTCCAAGCTCAGAGCAGACTGTGTGGCATCCAGGGGACCAGGCCCGAGGCCGCAGTAGACAGGGCCTGGACTGCAGTGGTAGGTCAGAAACACAGACTCAACTGTGGCCAATGGTGAGTGCACCCTGGACACAACTGTCCGCACCTCTATTTTGGGAAGATGCCAAAGAGGACCTGGAGGTGGGCCAGGCACAGGGAGCCCATGAGGAGACTGTCGTGCCCACCTGGCTAGAGGCACCCTCTGCTCCTGGGCTTACCTAGCAAGCCTCCATAGGAAGACGTCTGCTTGGGCGGCACACCGAAGAAGAGCTGTCCTATCCTGTCGAGGTACTGAAAGAGACAAAAGCAGAGGCCCCTGAGAACACGGAATGGGTTGGACCTACCTGAGGCCCCAGGGCTCCAAGGGAGGGCTACACGTGGACTTAAGGACCTTTCCCTCCCTCTACAGCTGCTGCCTGATGGCCCAATGCTGCAAGCCCCTCACCTCGTTGTACATTGGGTCCCTCCTGAGGGATGGCTGGTACTGCTCACATAGCACTGTGAACACTGTCAGCTTGCCGCTGAAACACAGGACATGGCAAAGACTTGTTTCTAATGGAAAAGAAAGTGCCTGATGGCCCAATGCTGCAAGCCCCTCACCTCGTTGTACATTGGGTCCCTCCTGAGGGACGGCTGGTACTGCTCACATAGCACTGTGAACACTGTCAGCTTGCCGCTGAAACACAGGACATGGCAAAGACTTGTTTCTAATGGAAAAGAAAGCCACACCCACCCACAACTACACACACCGACACCTAGACTCACATACGTACACATATCTGTACATACACACCTACACACACGCTCTCGTCTACACACTTATACACACCTACACATATACCATACACACACATGCCCCCCCCCCACATCTACACACACTCACACACCCTGGACTAAAAAAATTTACCCATCCACAGCCAACAGCAGGAACCAGATGAAATTGAGCAGGGGCTGTACAAACGGAGGCCCGTCCTCGATTGACGGATGCTTCTGGGTGTACGTTGAGAAGACCACTGATGCACTGTTTTTATTTTTTAAACAGAGAAATCTAGAAATAAGAATGTTCCAGTGGGTGGAAATACTGAAGAAGGACACAGGGTTTCTACAGTTTTCCACATGAACATCAAACACTTGACACCACTGCAGGCATAGAAAGCCTCAGTCAACAAACACATGTGCCAGCCTGTGACACAAGACCGGGCTCCTTCGCAGGCCTGCGCCACATAGGACTCACAGCAGGGACCACAGCTCTGGTGTATGCAAGGCCTGGCAGGCCCTGTCCTCCACATGTGCTGCCCTTACATGCACGGCAAAACTACCCATTTCACAATTTACAGGTGAAGAAAATTAGCTTGGAAAGGTGATGTGGCTTTCTGAAGGTCAACAGAGCTATGGAACAGTGGAGCCAGAAGGTGGACCCACGTCAGTCTGACTCACGGAACTAAGACCTCTACTTTCTGCATACCCGTCTGCACCCCCGTCTGCACCCGTTAGATGCCTGCCTGCATGAGAATACTCAACCCAGAGGTCTGGGCAGTAAATGGCCTGCACCTCTGATGCCTCACTGGGTGCTAGGACACACCCTGACTTATGCTCAGGGAGCGTCTTCACTCAAGGGCAGTCCCAGAGGGACTCCTGAGACAGGGCTCAGAGACCTTAGCAGCAGCACCCAGTTCAGTGCTAAGAAAACATCTGCACCATGTGTTACAAAGCCAGGGCCAGTGAGTTTCCAATTTTAACAAGTTTCTCATTTTTCAAGTAGCAGATGTCAGCAACAGCTGGGTGGCAGAGTCCTGCAGACTGAGGTGATGTACAGGCTGCAGGCATTCCGTGACCAGCACAAATCCTATCCCAACACCTGCCCACCCAATCAAGGTTTTCTCTGCAGGAGGAAATCAACTTGATCAAATGTGAACCATTTTCATGAGAAAGGGAGGAAGGCTGAAGTCAGGAACAGTCGGGTGGCCCTCTGACTGACACCTCCCACACTGTCAGTGAGCTGGCGGGAGGGTCTTGTGGTGCAGACGTTGACTAACAATTCTGTGAACCCTGAAGTATGTTTCAACAGTTCCAAGATAAACTGTAGGGAAGAAAAAAGAGGACGAACAAAGCCTAACAGAACAGAGATTAGAGGATCTACTGGAATGAAGAGCTGGTGAGAAGCAACACGTGGGGTGTGGCCTTGTCCACGTATTACCAGGTTTAGATTCTTAGAAACAGCTGCAAGAACACACACAGCCTTTGAAAACATGCTAACTTCATATTCCAAGATACTTCTTGAAATTTATTAAAAATTAATCACTCTGGCTGATGTGTGAGCTCGTTGTTCTGCCCCGTGTGAACTTGAAGTTTACCTTTCTGCATGTCCCGGTCAGGTGACAACCTGCTCTGAGGCGGTCTCTGGAACCCAAGGCAGCAGTTTAAGCAAAGATTTGATGAAGTAAACACAGAATACTTACTGTAGGACAGCCTGGGCCACGAACATGTCCACCTCACTGCGAAATCCCCTTGAGGTAGAATATTCTACTAACATATTGGCACATCCTTCTCCATCAGTAGAGTGCAGGAAGTGATACCGAGATTCACAATAGTTTTGTTCTGCAAAGGAAATGTGACATACAGACATATTATAAATACAATGTATTACAAAACTCTTTTTTTTTTTTTTTTTTTGTCTTTTTTGTGACCGGCTGCACCGCGCTCAGCCAGTGAGCGCACCGGCCATCCCTATATAGGATCCGAACCTGCAGCAGGAGCACTGCACTCTCCCAAGTGCGCCACGGGGTCAGCCCTATTACAAAACTCTTAGAAAGATCCGTCCTCTGTACTCTGTACTAGGGTCTACTTTGCTCGCCTGCTAGAAGCCAGTGTGAACCCAAGTGGATAAGGACAATTCCTCCAGCACACAAAGCTGGCTCATGCCAACATCCAACTTCCTTAGGCTCAGAGCACTAAGTGCGAAACAGCTAAAAAGGACAGGTCTTCCTGCAACCAAAGACCTTATTTTTCTAAGCTGTATAAGCTGCAAAGTTTTACCCACATTAATGTGTATATGAGATGAACCATAAAAAAGCGCTAGTATTTGACCCTTTCGATCCACAAAAATGGCAATTTCATGTAGAGCAACGTAATACAAAATCCTAACATGTGTGCCCCTCCAAAATAGCACCTTGACTCTCAGATAAAAAGCAAAGAGAATCTTATACTTTACTTTCTCCCAGAGAATCCCAGTGAGGTTAGGCAAGACCCCTAACATCCACCCGCATCATAACACCGACCAACACACTCTCTACCCTGCCCCGTCCTCACACCTGCCCCCACATACCCTCCACTCCAAGCCAGGAGGATCGGTTGTGCTCAGCTGGGTGCACAGAGTGGAGAGCTGAGCAGGTAATGTCCCTGAGACATAGCCACACTGTGCCTCAACCTGGTGTGCCCTTGCAGAGGTAGACCCTCGCTGTGTAAGGGGTCCCTGTTCGAAAGCATCAGCACCACCTGGGAGCTGGGCAGTCCCCGCCCCCACCTCCTGAACCAGAATTGGCATTTAACAGTGAAGTGTGGGCACATTAACATCTGAGCAGCTTTCCTTAGTCCACATTTCCCATGGTTACACCTTTAGGTGTGAAGTTGTAGTGCCAATAAAATAAAAGGGCAGTAGAAAGAAAGTGAGTGTTTCCTCTAAGTTAAGCTATTTGTTCAGCCTTCCTACTGCAAACTGGCTATTTAATCACAAATCAATAGAAATGGTCAGCTTTTACAAAGGCCGAGAATGGCAGATGAGAGGGTGGTCCAAGCAGCACCCAGCCTCCTCGCCGCTCTCCTCACCTTGCTGTCACAGCCTGCCCACCCGCCTGCCCACTTGCTCGCTGCCCGGGACACCTTCTGCCATGGCCACCTCAGCAAGTTCCCACTTGACGAAAGGCATCAAGCAGGCATATACATTCCTTCTCAGGGTGAGAAAGTCCAAACTATGCCAGTGTGGATCGAGGGTACTGGAGAAGGACTGCACTGCGGGACCCGTGCCCTGGACTGTGAGCCCACGTGTGCAGGAGATGCCCGAGTAGTGTTTTGATGGCTCTAGAACTTTTCAGTCTGAAGGCTCCAACAGTGACATGTATCATGCCTACTGCCATGTTTCGGGACCCCTTCTGCAAGCTAACAAACTAGTGTTCTGTGAAGTTTTCAAGTACAACAGTTTAAGGCACACCTGTAAACAGAAAATGGACATGGTAGACAACCAGCACCCCCTGGTTCAGAATAGAGCAGGAATACACTCTCCTGGGGCATCTCTTCTGTTGGTCTTCCAGCAGTTTCCCTGGGCCCCAAGGTCCATATTACTGTGGTGTGGGAGCAGACAGAGCCTATGGCAGGGATATCATGGAGGCTCACTACTGGGCCTGCTTATATGCTGGAGTCAAGTCTGCAGGGACAAATGCCAAGGTCATACCTGCCCAGTGGGAATTCCAAATAGGACCCTGTGAAGTATCAGCATGGGAGGTCATCTCTGGGTGGCCCATTTCATCTTGCATTGTGTTCGTGAGGACTTTGGAGTGACAGGAACTTTGATCCCAAGCCCATTCCCGGGAAGTGGAATGGAGCAGGTTGCCGTACCAACTTCGGCACCAAGGACAGGCGGGAGAATGGTCTGCAGTACACTGAGGAGGCCACTGAGAAGCTAAGCAAGTGGCACCAGTACCACATTGACACCTACGACCCCAAGGGAGGCCTGGACAATGACCTGTGCCTAAGTGGATTCCACGAAACCTCCTACATCAACGACTTTCCTGCTAGCGCAGCCAACCATGGTGCCAGCATCCGCATTCCCCAGACTGTCGGTCAGGAGAGGAGGGGCTACTTTGAAGACCATCACCCCTCTGCCAACTGCAACCCTTTTGGAGTGACGGAAGCCCTCATCCGCACGTCTTCTCAACGAAACAGGAAATGAACCCTTCTAATCCAAAAACGAAGTGGATTAGACTTCCAGCCATCGAGCCCCTGCTAGTTCTTCTTCCCGCTCCAGCTCTCCCCGCCCCCATCTAGATTGTCCTAATTGTCCCAACTGACACTCAAAGGGTGGAATATCAAGATCTTTTTTATTCCTTGTGCCCAGTTTATCTTGCTTTTTTAGCCAGGATAGAGGGATCAAGTTCTTAATCTCTTCACGATGAAGAAGAGAGCCGAAGGTGGGGAAAGCGTGCCAGGCACCCAGAGGGGGCCGAGAGCCCCACCTGTCACAGCAGCGAGCACAGTACAGCAGGTGTAATCACTCTTGGTGAAGAGGGAAGGGTGCTGCTTCTCAACCCCTGCACCCCCTCAAGGGTGCACTGCTCCCTCCTCTCCAGGGCCAAGGCTTCTCCCATTCCAGCTGCCACTCTCCAGTGGGGAAGTGTTTGGCAGGCAGGGCTACGAAATCTCAGCATCAACAAGGGCCTGGCGCACAGTGGGCACCCAATATTTGTTTGGTTGATAAAAAAGAGAAGGGCAGGAATGGACTCTGGTGTTGCTAACTTGTAAAGAACACACACTCTTTCAGCCAATTATCACATCGTTTGTCAGATGTAGCTGTTTCTAGGAGGAGTTTGCTGTCTTAGATCTTGTTCACAAAGTTAATCTGCGTTACTTCCTGGAGTAAAGTCACCTTTAGCCTAGACCTTCAAACGAAGAGGGTGTGCTCCTCTGTGCCCTTCAGCGCTGCTGGGCATCTCCACTGAGCCCCAGCCACAATATCACCTTCCCCTCATCTTACCCACACCCAGGTGCATGCCCAGAGGACAGGAGCACACTGCCATCCCCGCACCACCATCCCTGTTTACAGCTCCAGAGCATGTGGTAGGGCCCTAGCAAAGGCCTGCTGGGTAAGTGAATGAGCTAATCTTCCAAAGCTAGAGTCACTTAGGACATTAATGTCCTCAGGAACGCTACTGTGAGAGGGAACTCTTTAAAACCCTAGTAAACAACATGTCATTCAAGCTACTCAGCAAATATTTATTGAGTGCCTTTTCCTCTACCTAAGCAGCAGATCTGGAGCTAAGAATACCAACCACATTGAGCAAAAACATCCATGATCCCCACCTCACAGACTGAATAATCCCCACAAAGGCTTAGTTAGAAAATGAGATAAGTGTTAAGAAGCAGAGCAAAGCACTGTTCTTGGGGGGTGGGGGGTGGGGGTGGGAAAGGACGTTCCAGAAAGAAGAAAGAGCATATACAAGCCCTGCAGTAGGAGGGTGACATGGCAGTCTATATGAGGCTTTGAATGTTTCACAGAGAGAGAAGAAAGAAGTATTCGAGGTAAGAGCCTAGAAAGAAGGATGGGACCAGGCTGACCACGGCCCCCTCGTCTTCCCCCTACCATTGTGGGTGTTTCTCCTGTGAGCAATGGTGACTTAATCAAGGGGCAACTTCATATCAAAGCATAAACATCCAGAGTTAGCTAGACAGAAAACCTGACCCGTATCGTTTCAGAGAGCAAAATCTCCCCTCCTTGTTAGCTGTGATGGATGATTTCAATCAATTAAAATGGATAATGCAAATAAAAGTCCCAGGGAGCACAGAAAGGGACAGACGCTCACTGGCCAGGACCCCCACCAAACCTGTGAGTACAGAATGGCCTCCCCCATGCCTCAGGGCTCACTGGAACCTACCTTTCCACAGGGTGAGGGCCAGCAGCTGGTGGAGCCGGGGGTGGCCCAGCTTCCCAGATCCTCCACTGGACCATTTCAGGGCTCTAGACACAAAAGCCACTCGCTCTGGAGAATTCGGATCCATCAAACTAAACACTTTAGCCAGATTTTCTGAAAACAATACAAACAGATCCTCACCCACAGGAACACACGACTACTCTTGTTCTTTGTACTGCACATCTTACAAAAATGAATTAAATGCAATAATTATTTAACTTAAAAAGGAAGCTGAGAAACCACTGGCATGCTGGTGCCTATCCCTGGTGCATGTCCATGGGTTCAAGTGCTATACAGGGCCACCCCCAATTGACCTCTCCGCTGCAATGCCAGTTCTGCAGGCCCCAGAGCGCAACAAGGAAGGACAAACACCTTCCCGGCTTCATGGCTTAGCCAACGTTGGGGAGCAGGTAAAAGGGTGGGCTGTCATGGGAAGCTGGCCCTCAGAGGAGCAATGCCTGGGATGAGTGGAAGAAAAGCACCAGGCTGGAGCCCAGAAACAGCCTCCTCTGGGTCCTTGGCTCTAGCCTACAGGCCTCTGCATAAGCAGCAAGGCCAGGAGTGGGACCTCTCCTGTATCTTCTAACTGGGCAGCTCACAAGACGGGCTTCGCCAACCGCATGCTTACCAAATGGGACAGGCCGAGAAGCCAAGCCTCTGGACAAAAGGGTGCCCCACCTCGCCGGCTGGCTGGGAGGCCGCCGTCCATCAGAGCAGCGGAGAGGTCAATTACTCTGCAGACAGTATGGGTGGCTCCCATGCTGGGGAGGGGACAGTGCCCAAGTCATGCTCCACCTATAAAACACAGCATGTCCTGCTAAGTGTGCCAGTACACTCAGAGCGGGGTCATCAGGTGGGCATGGTTCACTTCGACTGGGCAGGAGCTACGTCTGCAACAAGATTAATCCCAGAGCACAAGAGACCCCACAACACAGGCACAAAACGGAGTAAAATAACTCAGGGAGGTGCTATCTTAGAGGCCAGCTATGAAACAGTCTGAGCTGAAAGGTACTTTGTGCATTGCAAAACTCGACACAGTAGGAATTCTCACCCAGTAACTCGTTGGACACATCCACTTCTGCCTTCTCCAGAGACTCTAAGACCAGCATGGATAAGTCTGCAGCACTGTTTTGCTACAAAACATATAAACAAACAAGAATCACACAGTTAAAAACAAAGCTCTGATTCATTCAGAACAGACAAGATAAAGCTGTGCAGCTGGTCTGGTGTTCCAGATAGAAGCCTGTGAACAAACTGAAGCTAAGGGAACCTGTTCTGAGCACAATGTCACTTAGCAGTGCAGCCAAATAACTGACAAGTCCAGGCCAGGGGCAAATAAAAATGGATAGGGCTGTTTATACCAAAATAAAGCACGTGTGGCACCCCGATGCCACATAGCACCACAGCCCTGGCCATTGGTGGCCTGCTGTGACAGGCCCTTGAGAGTGAAGCACTTGCATCAGGAATACCAGGACTCTCTGCCACCTGCAGCCAGAGCCAGGATGGCCTCATGTCATCCATCAGACCTCTTCCTTGTTATTCCCATTTCAACTCTCCTGCCCAGAGCAGAAAAGGACACACAAGAAAAAGTAAAAGCACTTACTTGGCCATGACTGAAGAACAACAGCGCTCCTGAGTACATGAGCTCTCTGGCTTCAACATGTTTGCTTTGGGACATGTATCTGAGATAAAGAGAGAAAGTGTGAACAGAGGGAGCCCAGTGACACAAGACACTCACTACAGACATTCTCCAGAGGGGAACACATTCTCATTGTTATGTCCACCAAGTCTAATGTGGTTTTGGAGGTCCAATGCTAAAAAGGTGTTTAGGTAGATGTAAAAGCTTTATGAAAGTAAGCCTTCCTATATACACATATACCTTTCACCAAGAACGGAAACAAAGGTACTCCTGAGGTACATGAGCTCCATGGGAAGGAAGAGGAAGAGTCTTTGTCCCAGGCATCTTGCTGAGCAGGCCCTACCCAGTGTAAGCCAGGCAGCCATGGAGCCTGCTCCCCAGGGGCTTCTCCTGCCACCTCCAGGCCTGTCAGGGTGTCCCAGGCTCAGCTCTTCCTGTGAGGCTGCATGTAGTGCTGTGGACACTAAGGTCTCTGCTGTCAGCAAGCTCGGGCTTTGGAGGGTGGGCCTGAATACTCAGGGCAGACAAGGCAGGGGGGCAAGGCCGATTTGTGCCCAAACAGGCCAGGAGCCAGAAAGCAGCTCTTTCTCAAGCAGCTCACAAGTTTCAGCAGAAGGGACCAGGGAAAAGGCTGGGAGGGTGTTACATAAAGGAGCAAGGGAGACATACACTCGTCCATCTGAGAACCGAAGGACTAGATTGCATGCAGGGGACAAGGGACAGTGGGGGATTCAGGATGGAGTCTTACTGGGGACAATAACAACAGTGACTGCAGCAACCTTCTTCCCTCTGCTGAAGTCCCATTCAGCTTCAATCACGGGGGTCAGTGTCCCTTAAAGTTTCCATCTAAGGATACCCCACCTGCTCCCAACACATGCTGTGCTCCTCCTCCCTTGGAAGGGATGGGCCTGGGTGGACACCACCACCCATGTCCTATATCACTTCCCCGCTGCAAATGCATTTCTCACAAAGTACAGGAGGCTGGGAACAGCTGGTCTCTTGAACTGCACAGGGACAGAAGCACAGAGCAGTGAGAAGCATGGCTGATAACCAAACACATCCAGAACCAGAAAAAGGACAAATGGATCTGTCTGCAATGGACAAAATGCCGAGGGAAGCAGGGGCAGCCTGAGCTGCTCGGTGCAGTGCAGGGCCCCAGCCTGCAAGAACAGAAAGTGTGGAAAGCAGGAGATGGCTTCCTGCTGAAACATGCCATGCCTACCAAACCACAGCATTGGGCCACATGAATAGGTGGCACTCAGAACATTTTACATCATTGGCTACACATTTATCATCATTTTATTATCAGGAAAAGTATCATCAGTCAACTCTGTGTAAGCCAAATTTCCTTGGACAAAGCTGTGTTTAAAGACAAGTCAAAGAAAAATATTAAGCAAATAGCAGGTGATATAAAGACACAGCAAAAACCATGACAATGACACACAAATGGCTCAAGTCTGGGAAATAGTACTTTAACATCCCCAGGACAGACAAGCTAGCAGGGAATGCAGATGGCTGGCTATTCAATTAACTACCAAAAATGTCTTTTCTTCAAAAAGACACCACAACCAGACCCCTCCCAAACATCCCCCACCCTCACCAGGCAGCACTTGGGGGAATCCTGTTAGCTTGGCACACAGACCCCCAACAGGAGACTCCATCTGCCTGCACTCTGTGGGTGGGGACCAGGAGGTAAAAGACTACATTCCAAGAAAGAAAACCACCTTGTCAGTGTGCAGGTCATCAACCTGGTCTTGGGTTTCATCAACACAACTCTCAAGAGCAGTCATTCTCTCTGACACATACACTCTAAACGTTGTAGATGGAGACCTACTCTCATACCAGTGCAACATCTCAACAGGGCAATTTATTCTGTTACCAACCAGCCTAATTCCAGTCCTGCAGTGTCATTACCTAGCTCACAAAGGATGTCAGGGGCTGCCCTGCAGACTCTCCGAGCCCTTCCACTTAGCCTGGTGCCGGGCATTGACATGTGATATGCTGGAAAAAGTACTCAGAGTATACCTCATGCTGCCATCTGCACGGACATATACAGAACTGTACACATTTATCTTAAGTGATAATCACGCCACTTTGTTTCTGCTTATGCATGATACTACAGAGTTCTAGACTCTTCTACCTGAGGTACAGCAAGAGATAACCTCTTAGAAAACCAGATGAAGAAAAAATAACACCTTGAAAGGCAGACAAACCAAATTTCTGAGATAAGGAAACCCGCTTTCAAAGGGTGCTGCCAATGATTATAGCAACACACCCCCACAGCCCAGCTTGGATTACTACCAGGCCCAGCAGCTCCCTGTAATCTTGCTGTGAGCTCATGTAAGGGGAGAGAAGGGAGGGAAATGGATAATTCTGTGTGCACACATACAGGACCACAATTTTCCAGCCATTTGCCAGCTAGTTGAAATCGCCTGTTGCCAGATCAAGGAAAGCTGGTAAAAGACAAAATAGTCTAAGGTAACTACAAAAGTAAACGTGCTTCTTTTTACATTGAAGAATTCTGGGAGCTGGAAGAGGTTTTTGTTTCTGGGTGGCTAAGCAAGGACTGGTACCCTCTAAGGCCCTGAAGCCACAGGAGAGTTGGCAGCAGCTGGAGTAGAAGTCGGGTCTCCTCCCTTGGCCCTCCACCACCATTCCATCCACACAGCCTCACCTCTGCATGCTGCACACTGTTGGACACTCTATTACATAAACACCCCAAAGGCACACCTTTTATACAATGAAATTGAACTTTTGTCCTCTGCTGATGAATGACATTCCAAGTTGACATGTGCTGATGCTGTCTGCCAGCCAAAAACGGACATATAGGGCCGGCCCGTGGCTCACTCGGGAGAGTGTGGTGCTGATAACACCAAGGCCACGGGTTCGGATCCTATATAGGGATGGCGGGTTTGCTCACTGGCTGAGTGTGGTGCTGACAATACTAAGCCAAGGGTTGAGATCCCCTTACCGGTCATCTTTAAAAAAAAAAAAAATGGACGTATGATAGCAACATCTTTATCCACACAGCAATGTGTCTCTGCAAGTATTCTCATTTATTTTGCTCTTATTTTATTTTTTATTTATTATTATTTTTTTTCCTTTTTTCGGGACCGGCAACGGATCACAACCCTCAGTGTCGCGCCCGTAC